CATTGTAGACTATACTGCATTGAGTACCGTAACGTGCACCTCTGCCTACCCCTTCGGGGATTAAAGGCGTGATGTTATGTTATGTTATGTTATCTATATATACTATACTTAAACATGCGCGGTGGGTGGGCTAACGACTGCAACGTGCAGCGGATTCGATCTCGCACGGAGCAACTCTTCGTGTGATCTAAAAATAGTAATGTAATCTACGTTGTCTAAGGCAACGCTCAAATAAATGTTCACAACCTCATAGTTCTTTAAGACCGATGACAAATTGACAATCGAAGGACCAGCATCTAGTTCGATCAAGGGTTCATATATTTTTGATCATTGTTCTTTTGAAAGCAGACTGGTCATTTATAACCTTTCATATACTTCTAATGAGTTTTTTTTGCCTACTGTCGTTGACGATCTCGTCACCATCATCATTGAATTCGTATGTGTTTGTTTCTCAATCACGTGAAAACAGCTGAAGATATCAGGATGAAATTTGGAACAGGTATAGATTACATGAATACGCAGGTAAATCTGCTGATAAAAGCTAGTTAACGAATAAATACCTATGTTTTATTGTACATAATGAAACCAGGTATGTGTTACAAAGCAGATCTTGAAAAGGCAGCCTAAATATTATCGATATACGGCAGAATAATGTTAAGGAAACATTGTACCTAAATATAAAATTGATTGGATTTTATCATGGCATAGTCCGGTAGACGAGCAGACGGAACTTTGTTACTGGGTTCTGTTAACATCTTTATATTATGTGCCCATGTTTGCAAATGAGAATATGAATACGGATCACCAGATCGTAACCGATCGGCGCCGCCCATGGACACCCGAAACACCAAACGTGTTACTAGTGTTAATAATTTGAGAGTTATTGGGGATAAGGAAGATATAGACGGGTACTAAAAGTTTGCTAGTTTGCTGTCTACATACTAAACTCCTGTAACTATTCCATGATATTTTTATTATAACCGGAGGCGGAGACTATATCCAAAATATTGATTTAGAGTCATACGATTACGCATTTCATTTCATTTCATGAAGGTAATAAAAAGTCAGATTAAAATTTTTCACGTTTTAATACATACAATATTTTCATTTTTTCATTTGGTATACACATAGACAAAATTTTCAGAAATCGATAACGTTTAATTTCTGCATTCTGGTGAATCCCTGAACCCAGGACAATAGCATTTAGGAACGCAGAAAAAGTTGTACAACTTGTAGGATCCATCTCTGCAAACACATCCTGGTTCGCACGGTTCAGGACTCTCGCAACCTGGAATAGAGCTCCCCAAGGCATCACAGCTCTCATCTATACAAGGGTCTCTGCATTCCTTGTACACCTCGCCTTCACGACAAGCTGGTCCTACAAATTCACCACAAAAAGTTCAATATCTATAGAATATAAATCCTAAGTATGTGGCAGTAGGAATAAAATATGATTAGTCATTTAATACCATTAATAAAGATGGTTAATAGCAGTGGACCTAAGATAGATCCCTGTGGTACACCTGATTTTCGAAGTAAGAGTGACAACTCCCATGGTTTTGTATTTTTATTACTTATGTGTTTTTTCCATGCAAAATTCGATGTTAGAAAATTTTGTGAATGAACACGCCCAACAAATAATCGGATAGCACGATATTATATCAACTAATGCAATGTGAGTACTTAATTGTATGATACCACTAGCCTATAAGTGCTCATCATTTTTATTTAAAGGGATTATGCGGCAAAAATGCATAAAAAGATCGATGAATTTGTATATAGTATTTTTAAGTGTGGGACAGCCATATTCCATGTTGGAGTGATATCACGGCCTCACAGAAAACCGACGTGAAGCAACGCTTGCGTCGTGTTTCCTCGTGTGAGTGAGGTTACCGGAGGCCCAATTACCCTCCCCTTCTCCAATCTTCCGAATTCCTGAATCCCCAACGATCCTCAAACTCCTAATCCCCAAAAGGCCGTTAACGCACTTGTAATGCCTCTAATGTTCCACGTGTCCATGGGGGACGCCGATTGCTTACCATCAGGTGATCCGTCTGCTCGTTTACCGATTAATGCCATAAAAAAAAAATAAAAAAATGTAGCGTAACAGGTCCTAAATCCACTCACTATATTCTTGATCTATTTCAATGAGAATAGGAAACGAGACATTACGTAAAAGTGAGCAAGCAAATAGGATGGTTACATATAGCAACTATGTCAATAAAATGGTGACGCCAAAATGTGAGCTACACAAATGTATTTTTTTCACATTTGTGTACACACGTAACTTCTGAACGACTTTGCACCAAACTGCGCAAGCAATTATTAGTCGCCATGTTGTCTTTCGATAATAAATTTGTATTTCGTGTAATTATAAAAAAATCCATGGGAAAGTCAACTCGAGTCTTAAATGGTGTTGGTATTGATAGATGTTTAAGTAGAATAGAACACATACCACATTCTTCTTCGGATATACACTCGCCATCTGGACCATCCCTGTAGTAACCCGCTTTACATATACATTTCGGGATGCAAGGCATCACAACAGCTGGACAAGCTGGATTAATCAAACGAGTTTCACATGTCTTCTCTGGTGGGCATGCATAGGTACATCCAAAATATTCGTTTTCGCCACAATCTGAAACAAGATAACCCCTCTTATATTAGCAAAATTATAACAAAATAGTAGATAGACTTAAATTGGTTAATAAACATTTTCATTTCAATGATACATGACCAAATACTGGTAAAGTATATATTATTTATATTTGATAGGCCGACGTTTAGCCACAATCTCGCCTGATGGTAAACGATGATGCTACCTACGATGAAGCACCCAAGATAAGATACCCTTTGATATTAACAACTTCATATGTAAGTTTCTACTCTGTGCTATGGCCCTATGTGCTATGGCTCATACTGCTTATGGCACTGATTATACATACCTACTCAGTTTCTAGGATAATGTGCAATGTATAACTCGTTCTCCAGTTATCGAACTGGTGAAAAGTAGGAGATATAATTTTTGCACATATCCATACATTTTATTCCGAAAAAAGTGTTCTCACTTCTTCCAAAACAATTAAAGATGGAGTGGTTGTTCCAAAAACTCACCTGGTGGATATATAGATGGATTTACATTGTCAGATAGCTCCTGAGCCATCACCAGGCCCAGGTAACAGACAGACAGTAGCACTGCACACTTCAACATGTTGCCGGCTCTTCACAATACTGACCGTCAGCGCGTGTGTCTGTTTATATACACACTTCTTGCCCACGTCACACGTCGTTTTATTTGATAAGAACACACAATAATTAATTTGATAATTCGCTTATTTAGCTTACTTCGAAAGGGGAGATATTATCATGATCATCAACACCCTATAAATGCCCACTGCTGAACGAAACCTCGTCTTCCGCGGAAAAGGTTTGCTTATTAATCACCACGCTTACTCAATGCTAGTTGGCGAATTAAAACTTATAGATAATTAGAAATTATAAGCCCCAGGTTTCCTCACGATGTTTTCCTTCACCGTTTGTCTGTGGTGTCTAAATAATCTTAGAAAGTATATAAACATCGGAAAAAGTCACATTGGTACTTGCCGTTGGTAGGTTTGGAACCCTCACCTGCATGAGAAGCAGTCGTCTTAAACCTCCGGTCTCCACCACAACATTGTGCAGCGAATTCGATCTCGCACGGAGCAACTTTCCGTGTGGTCTACAAATAGTAATGTAATCTACTTTTGTTATGTTTTTAAATGGGTGGGTGCGCCCACGGTACAGGAAAATATCCTACATACATACATTATACATAACATCACGCCTTTATCGCCTTTATCCTTTATGTATATTATTATAAGGGTTATTTTAAGGGTTATTTTAAGGAAAATCATCTAATGACTTCTCCCGCCTGGGTGAGGCGGGAGGGAGTGTCAAACTCTTACTGACTAAAAACCACCCCGTTCCTACTCCTGCACTTGAAGCCGGAGCCCCGGTAACCCGTTAAGTTCTCCGCGGCTCCGTATCGGCATCAGTCCTTTTAGGCCTGAGCCACCCATGCTCGCCGTCCGCAGGCCCGCGTTTACGGGGGCCGAATATCGTCCGGCTATCCCCGACGCCCGGAGCGACCTTCGTGAGAGCTGGGCTGTTAAGAGGCAGCGCTTCACTGCCTCATGCACCCCACCTCCTTCTTAGCTAGCATGACTGCTTCGCAAAAGAAGGAGACGTCATCCCAGTCCCACTCGTTCCGCATCATGACCTGCACTAGGGCCGGACGCGAGAGGTCGCCGTAGCCGATCACGTCCCTAAAGGCACGGCGGTGCTTAGCCCACGCAGGGCATTCCCCAACTGTGTGTTACACTGTGTCCTCAGGGCGGTCCTCGCAGTGATGACACCCGGGCGTTTCCTCCCGCCCTATCATGTACATGTACTACATGTACCTGAAGACGCCGTAGTGTCTCTCAAGCCACTCCTTAAAGATGGGACTTACCGCTGCAATGGCAGCGATCCTAATCCCCGAAGGGGTAGGCAGAGGTGCACATTATGCCACTGTACAATGTAACACCCACTTTTCACTATTTATTTTGTGAGTCCCATGTAATAGGGGGTGAGCCTATTGCCAAATACCGGCTCAATTGGCAGACTCCGTGCTACTACTGAGATTTTTTTAAAAACCATTTTTACTTATATTATACCCATAACTTTGCCCAACTTGGGAATCGAACCCAAGGTCGCACGTACGACCACTAGGCCAACGAGGCAGTCAATGAGAAAATCCTAATGTGGCAACGTTTATTTTTATTTATTTGGACACGATTTCAGCTTTCGTGTTAAGTATTCGAAAGAAAACAATAATAATATTTTTTTTTCGTTCCACCTGTAAAACCAGCCCGAGAATAGCTTGGTTTCGAAATAAGTTTACATGAAGTTGAGGTATTATACTTAAAAATACATGACGTCGATGGCATTTCCTACACAACTTATGTTGGGAAATAAAAAAAAACATTTGTAGGAAAAAGATAATCGACATCTAGTTATATGTCTCAATTCTCATATTCCTCATAATCCATTTCATTGTAGCTGCATATTAAAGCAGTCAGAGTTTCGATGCAATATTACCAATTGCATTTTACAATCAAGCTCAAATCCACAACCTCGTAATACTTTAAGACCGATGCCAATTGACAGTCGAAGGACTGTCTAGTTTGATCAATGGTCTCTAGATTTTTTATCATTGTTCATTTGAAAGCAAGAGATACTTCTCCTAACACTTTCATATACTTCTCTTATAAGTGTTCCTTTTTGCCTACTATCGATTGACCATCTCGTCACAGTCATCATCAAGATACCTAAGTACATTTGTAAAAATGAAGTGAGTACTTATTTTCTTTTTTTAATTTAATTCTTCATATTATAATAATATAAATGTGATAGTATATATTGTGTATGTTTGTTACTCAATCACGTGAAAACAGCTCAAGACATCGGGATGACCCATTTATCCCCAAACGGTCACCAATGACCGCTCTACACTAACTACATTAAAGACCTTATTTCCGAAGTTTAGAGACTACTTTTGTATGAAAGAATTTAGGGAATGATATTTTAACACAAGCTAGTTAATAAATAAATACCTATGTCTTATTTTACTTAATAAAACCAGGTCTGTGTTACAAAGTAGATTTTGAAGAGGCAGCCTAAATATTATCGGTATACGGCAGAATAATCTGAAGGAAACATTGCACCTAAATATAAACTTGGTTGGATTATTTTATGGAATAGTCCGGTAAACGAGCAGACAGATCACCTTATGGTAAACGATCTACGCCGCACATGGGCACCCAAAATACCAGATGTGTTACTAGTGTGTTCCCGGCCCCTTGAGGATTAAGATTCGAGGATTGGGAAGATAAGGAAGGGGTTAATTTAATTACGGGTTCTAAGAGTGTGCTGTCTACATACTAAACTTCTGTAACTATTCCATGATATTTTTTATTATAACCGGAGACTATATACAAAATATTGATTTAGAGCGATACGATTACGCATTTCATTTCATTTCATGAAGGTAATAAAAAGTCAGATTAAAATTTTTCACGTTTTAATACACAAAATATTTTAATTTTTTTAATTTGATCAGAAAACAGTTATCACGAGACAAAGCTTAATTTCTACATTCTGGTGAATCCCTGAACCCAGGACAATAGCATTTAGGAACGCATAAGAAGTTGTACATCTTATAGAATCCATCTCTGCAAGCGCATCCTGGTTCGCAGGGTTCAGGACTCTCGCAGCCTGGAATAGAGCTCCCCAAGGCATCACAGCTCTCATCTATACAAGGGTCTCTGCATTCCTTGTACACCTCGCCTTCACGACAAGCTGGTCCTAAAAATTCACCAAAAGAAATTCAGTATCAATAGAATATAAACCCTAAGTATGTGGTAGTAGTATATAGGACCTTTAATAAAGATGGTTAATAGTAGTGGACCCAAGATAGATCCCTGTGGTACACCTGATTTTCGAAGCATGAGTGACGTAAGTCCCAACATAAGTATTGTATAATAACTTACTGGGACTGCCTCAATGTTAGACAGATAGTGTAATTCTTAAGATAATAATAAAGAATTTTGAATTTGAATAATAAACAATTTTGAAAGTGACAACTCCCATGGTTTTGTATTTTTATTAATTATGTGTTATTTGCATGCAAAATTCAATGTTAGAAATTTTTGTTTGTTTCTTATCTCCTTTAATGAACACGCCCACCAAATAATCGGATAGCACGATATTATATCAACTAATGCAATGTGAGTACTTAATTGTATGATACCACTAGCCGATAAGCTCATCATTTTTATTTAAAGGGGTTATGCGGCAAAAATGCATGAAATGATCGATGAACTTGTATATATAGCGTAACAAGTTCAGAATCCACTCACTATAGTCTCGATCTCCTTCAATTACAATAGGAAACCAGAAAAATGAGCAAGCGAATAGGAAGTTTACATATATCAACTATGTCAATAAAATGGTGACGCCAAAATGTGAGCTATGTATGTCCAAATGTATTTTTTTTTTCACATTAGTATACACACGTAACTTTCCAACGATTTTGCACCAAACTGCGCAGGCAATTGTTTTTTGTCAAGTTGTCTTTCGATAGTAAATTTGTATTTCGTGCAATTATAAAAAAAATCCTTGGGAAAGTCAACTTGCGTCTGAAATGGTGTTACTATAGTTCGATTTTTAAGCAGAATAGAACACATACCACATTCTTCTTCGGATATACACTTGCCATCTGGACCATCCCTGTAGTAACCCGGTTTACAAATACATTTCGGGATGCAAGGCATCACAACACCTGGACAAATTACATTAATCAAACGAGTTTCACAGGTCTTCTCTGGTGGGCATGCATAGGTACATCCAAAATGTTCGTTTTCGCCACAATCTGAAACAAGAAAACATTTATATTAACAAAATTATAGCCAAATAGTAGTTAGACCTGATTTTTTTAAATAAAAATTTCATCTTAATGATAAATGCCAAATGCTGTTAAAATATATATTTTTTTATATTTGATGGCCCGACGTTTAGCCACTATCAGGTCTGGTGGCAAGCGATGATGCGACCTACGATGGAGCAGCCAAGATAAGATACCCTTTGATATTAACGCGTTCATAAGTTTCCACCCTGTGCTATGCCATTTAAGCACTCGTTTACCTAGAGAATACTTTGGCTCATACTGCTTATGGCACTGATTATATATACTCAGTTTCTGAGATAACGTGCAGTGTATAACTCGTTCCTGCTATAACTGGTGAAAAGTAGGAGATATAATTTTTGCACACATCCATACATTTTTATTTCGAAAAAGGTGTTCTCGGTTCTTCCAAAAACTCACCTGGTGGATATACAGATGGATTTACATTGTCAGATAGCTCCTGAGCCATCACCAGGCCCAGGTAACAGACAGACAGTAGCACTGCACACTTCAACATGTTGCCGGCTCTTCACAATACTGACCGTCAGCGCGTATGTCTGTATATATACACACTTCTTGCCCACGTCACACGTCGTTTTATTTGATAAGAACACACAATAATTAATTTGATAATTCGCTTATTTAGCTTACTTCGAAAGGAACGATATTGTCACTATCATCATCATCAACACCCTATAAATGCTCACTGCTGAGCGAAGCCGAAGAGGCTACGCTTGTTCAATGTGGGTTTGCCATTTCAAACTTATGGATAATTAGAAATTAAAAGCCTAGGTTCCCTCACGATGTTTTTCTTTACCTTTTATTTGTGGTGTCTAAATAATGTTAGAAAGTAAGTACATATAACTCGGAAAAGGTCACATTGGTACTTGCCGTTGGTAGGTTTGGAATCCGCACCCTCATGCATAAGAAGCGGCCGTGTTAAACCTCCGGTCCCCACAACATTGTATAAGTGATTATGTAAGTGCATAAATTTATTTTTTTCTGTTGTTTATTTTAGATTTTAGTACGTACTATAAATAACAAGGAACATTATCCCACCTTTAAATAATGAATATTATTAATTCCACTAAATTAAAACTGACGCTTGACACGACCTAGGTATTGTACAGTAATATTCCAGTCGAGGATTCTCGAAAATGATAAATAAACAATATAAACTACAATATTTCAATTTTTTGAAGACCTACTAAGCATTTTGTTTTATGTTCAGTTAGCTGGAAAATTAGGTTTTAATTAGTCAGGTTAATTCTCAGTAGCTATGAATTAGCAATAGTGGCAGCTGATATAGAGAGGAAATTATAGTATCTTGACTTGGACCCAACGGGAATTCTCGCTTAAATAATAATTTTAAATACATAACTATTTATTAAGATATCTAACATCTCGAAATACAGCCCGAAGAAATTGAAACTTGATTTTCTTTATATATTTGATTAGTTTCTGCAATCGGGTAGAGCCCGTGGTAGGCTACAGTAGCATTTGGGAACACATAACGTGTTGAAGAGCTTGTAGAATCCTTCTTTGCAAGCACATCCTGGAACGCAGGGCTCAGGGCTGGTGCAGTTCGGTTTCAAACTTCCCATTGCGTCACAGCTCTCATCGATACAAGGGTTTGTGCAGTCCTTGTACTCCTCGCCTTCACCACAAGCTGGACCTAGAAAAACATTCAATTTTGCATGGGGTTGGGCGGCACTTGTTTCATCATTTGTTTCATTGACTGTACATAAAGTACCAAAGAAGTGTGATGTAAAATACATTGTTTAATGGTTAACGCCGGTTTCTATATGTGACAGACGTATCTCCCTGATCTGGTCACCCATTTGTGACGAAGCTTGGCTGTTCCTCGTTAGTATAATGTGTGTACTTTATGTACCTAATTCGATGAAAATTAACTTGACCTCTTTAAACTGATGTCACCTAACCGGCTGCATACGTTTGTAGGTTATGACAAACTTATCTATATTTATATTAAGACTTTCGTGGAACATACTAAATTAATTTCTATGTTTTCGGCTTTTTCACGTAATTATTTTTTTTTAATAAAACGTTGCCCCACATTAGGATATTCTCCTGTGTCGTGGGTGCGAACAAACATACAAGTTCACATACACAATGACACCCAGACCCGAAACAACAATTTGTGGATCACACAAAGTGTTGTCCCGTGCGGAAATCGAACCCGCGACACGTTGCACGGCAGCCGGTTGCCCAACCACCGCACCAACCGTGCAGTCAAGATTTGACGACACGCGACGCGGCGACTGCCCTGTCCCACAGTCGTATATCGCGGAAAATGCTGCTCATGAATGAGCCTCTAACATGGCTTGAATCTAGTCGAGTTTGTCGTCAAACAGTTACGTGAGTAAGCCGAAAACATAATAATCCCATTGTTTCTGTAGAGATCAAATAAAAAAAGTTTATCTAATTTCAAAGTAAATATTAAGTAGATTGTTATTCTTACCACATTCTTCTTCGGATATACAGTGGCCACCAATAGTTTTTCTATAGTAGCCCTCTTTGCAAATACATTTTGGAATACAGGGTGTTTCTTTAACTAGACAAACTATACCAATTTTGCGAGATTCACAGGTCGCTTCTGGTGGACAATTGTGTGTACAACGTTCAAAATATTCGTTTGGACCACATGCTGGAAACAGAAATTTCTGAAATTATATCGCCTAATATCGAGTCGGTTTTAACATTGTTTTTGCCATTCAACGTGGCAATGCTGTCAGTCTTTTGGGCATCCTACCTTACGATAGCGATGAGAAAAATGTTTTCTTTGATGCCTTATGATATATTTTTAAATTTTTTTTAAGGTGTAAATATTTTAGTTTTTTAATTATGTATATTTTAAGTTGTATATATTAATAATCTCATAATATCTATAAATTTAATTGATTACTTAGTTTTTAAAAAGATATTATGTACAAAACTCACCCGTATGATATGAATTTAGATGGAAGTAGTCAAGTAGTCCTTGAGCCATATCTAGGCTCAAATAACAGACCAAAAGCAGTACTACACGCCACCACATGTTGCCGCTCAGTTCAGTATTTTCTCTCGATCTGGCTTATATGGGTAACTTGAGTACCTAATTGATATGGAATCGTGATTGAAAACAAATCACTAATATTAAGGTAGGCACACATGCTCTGAAATACCATGTTAAAAGCATTCTGTTGAGTATACTCTGAAATGTTCAAACAAGTGTGGGAGAGCCATGCTTCGGCAGGAATGGGCCGGCTCGACCGGAGCCATACCACGGCCACTGAAAACCTACGTGAAACAACGCTTGCGTTGTATTTCGTCATGTGAGTGAGGTAACCGGAGGCCCAATTACCCAATTCTATATAACAATCCTCAAATTCCCAATTCCCAAAAGGCCGGTAACGCACTTGTAACGCCTTGGTGTTCCAAGTATCCATGAGCGACGGCCATTGCTTACCATCAGGTCCGTCTATCCGTCTGCTCGTATACCGACATATGCTATAAAAAAGCTCTAATATACCATGTTAAAAAGCATTCTATTGAGCATGCTCTGAAATGTTTAAACTTCGAACGCCTGTCGATCTGCAAGCATGCCCGGAATGAGCGTGCTAATTTTGAGAGTCACTCCGATACATACGCTACTAAGTGACAACTTCTCGATTAAAGCATGTTTCCATGCTTGAAATGGAGCATGCGTAACAGTAGTTAGTTAGTACCTTTATGTTTATGTGTGTGGGTCGACACAGTATCGCTACAATTATTGGGATTGATGATATGAAGTTAAAATTGGACAATCAGAAAAAAACCGCCGCTCGCTGTTTAATAAACATTTTTATATTCTCTTTATTTAATTAAACTTAAATTAAACAACATATAAATGATTAAGTGTGATAATTATATACTCATATCAATTTGCCGTACGAACCGCTGCTTTATTTACATAAAGACGAACAACAAAACTAATTTAACTAATTTTTGCATTCAGGTGTATCTCTTAACTGGCGACAATAACATTTGGGTACACATATAAAGTTATACAGCTTGTAGAATCCTTCTTTGCAAGCACATCCTGGTTCGCAGGGCTCAGGAGCGGTGCAGTTCGGTATCAGACTTCCCATTGCATCACAGCTCTCATCTATACAAGGATTTGTGCAATCCTTGTACTCCTCGCCTTCACCACAAGCTGGTCCTAGAAAAACACATTTCTTTGTAACTAGTTGAGTATTCTAACTCATACATTCGAAGTCAGAACAATTAGCACGTTTGGTATCTTACATCATTCAATAAATATGCCTATTAATTTGTTGGACATAGCACACAATAGGATAGATGACTAATTTTCATTTTAATGTCCGTCTTGTAGATTATTTTAAAATATTAGACATGTATTTTTAATTTTCTAACAAAAACAAATACTTTCTACAATATATTGATTTAAAATATCGCGTGACGTCACTTCTAGGTTTTCACTGCCGCTCATAAACTGAGTATTGTTTTCTTGTATGACAAAATTTTAAAAATAGTTGTCTGATATTTTTTCATTATCTAACTGACGAACTAAATAAATGTTTTATTTTCATACCCCGTCATCATTCCTATTACGTCTACATAGTCTACGTGTGTCTATGTGTAAGTCTACATTATTTTAGCTCCATAATTATACACAAAACTGTGTATAATTAAGAGGCTAAAATAATGTTTGCTAAAACCAGACTTTTCCACCTATGAAACGAATTTCACTCGTTTGACATTTTAAATAAAAATTCGTGTTTTGGACGACTAACCTACCTACTGATCCTAATATTCACTTTCATTATTTTTAATATTAAGTGCAAATAATTTAAAAATATTATCAAATTCACTTGGTAAACCGGAAAATAACACTTGGTAAAACGCAAACCACTCACCACATTCTTCTTCTGATATACATTCGCCGCCTGGACCCTTCCTGTAGTAGCCCTCTTTACATATACATCTTGCGATACAGGGTGTAACTACTGCTGGACAATTTATATTAAATTTGCGAGTTTCACATGTTTTCTCTGGTGGGCAATCATGTGTACATTGTTCAAAGTATTCGTTTGGACCACAAGCTGAAAAAGAAATACATTACTTGTCAAACACAAACATAGTGTGATCGACAATTTCCTAAAGTTACATTACCAAAAATCGAGCCAGTAGTCGCAGCATTATTAAAAAACGATGCATTGTTTATCTTTGTATAGTTTCGTAGTTCGTTCATTAATTACTAGCTACTTCTGCGCTATTTCACACGCTCTGCTCAGTTCCTATTGGTCGTAGAGTTATGTTTTATAACCTATAGCCATCCTCGATAAATGCGCTCTCCAACACAAAAAGAATTATTCAAATCAGACTTTTAGTTACGGAGATTAGCGCGTTCAAACAAACAAACAAAAAAACAAACTCTCCCGCTTTATATAATAGTATAAGATAAGATTAAAATCCGTAAGTGTTTAATATAAGATTCACAATTCGCTAGCAATATTTTCTAAATCGTCGAATAAAAAAAAAAACAGACATCACAAAAACTCACCTGCGTGTTGTGAATATAGATCGTCACCGAATAGTCCCAGTCCCAGCTGCCCCGCAGCTAGCCCACAACAGATAGACAGCAGTACTACACACCTCCACATGTTGTCGGCTCCACGAGTATTGACGTGCGGTGCCTGTATCTGTTCATATAACCTGTTCAGCTGCTCTAAAGCCGAGATTTGTTGACTCTGACGTCATCACAGTTGAAAATATCTAAAACGTGCATGCTTGTCAATGTTTAGTTTAGTGTAGATGTCGTTCTAGGTAAGTAATTATTGACGGAAACAGCGATCGACCGGCGTGCGAAATATCTTTTGTTAAAATCAGACAAATGTTGGTACAGTTTTTTTTTAGTCTCGCGTTTGTAGAATTTGGCGGCAAATGAGCACATAACTCCGGACCAGTCTTTTGAATTACTCAAATATAGATTTTAGGAAACTTAAATAATTAATACGAGAAATTGGAAGTGAAGGAAGTGGTAACAATCGTTTTTTTTTTCTTCTCCTCTTATTCAATATCTTCTGATTCACTTCGTTGCGGGAACCAAGGCAGTTATTCATGTTCCTGAGATGCAACGGACTTCAGTGTTCGGGTGCTTTCATGGTTATATCTACTATATATTCTGGCTTACAGGAGTTGCACCGGTTTTGGGAGTTTGTGGCGGGCTTGTCCTAATAAAAAATTGGTGAGATAGTGGTCAAACGTCGGCCCATCAAATATAAAAAGGAAGAGAAATTGTAAAAAAAAATCCAATAAATAATTTGACATAGGTGGGATGTGAGTCATTACAAGTACAAAATTAATATTAAGTTTGATTATCAACAGTGATAGTAGTAATGATGCTATTGGGTTTTTTATGTTATTGGGTTTTTTCAGATAAACTTCTTATATTTTTTTTCCAAAACTATTAAGGTCACGGCCAAAGACTTGTTAATTACATAGATCTCATAATTATAGTGAATAGTGGGTGTTTTTTTTTTGATAGGGGAAATCATTCGACATCTCCTCTCACCTCTGGTGGTCAATAAGAGTCAGACTCTTATTGACTAAAAACCACCCCGTTTCTACTTCTACTCTTCGATCCAGAGCCCTGGCAATCCGTTTAGTCTTCCATGTCTCCGTATCGAGTAATAATTAGCCTTACTGAGCCCCATCTGTGGTGGTCTGGTGGCTCTTTCAGGGCATAAATCTGAATGCTACGTTTATTATACATTCTTCTGTTTATAGGAAATTAAAGGAGTGAAGTTATTTTATCAGCAGTAATTTTATTGTTTACAGTGATTGTCTTGTCTATAGTATCTATATCTACCTAATCAATATCTAATAATTACCCAATTCATTATATTTCTGTTACTATGTGTCAGACACTAAAGATATTGTTGACGTATTTGTAAAAAGATAATTTAAAAAGATATAATTGTTTTAATATACAGATATCGTTAATCACAATCAATTGGCCCTCCAAACTCATATGTTGAAATACCGTAGAATATTTATTTATTTATTTAATCCAATTACTTTGCCATTACAGATAACTTAACCTAAGTCGACATAGTAACTTTAAATATGCTTCCTAAACTATTAACTATATTTAACTATAAACTTATAAAAATTTTAACTGCAGACTATATTATACATATATCGTACATTTATACAAATACGCGAATTGTTGTAGGTTTAAACAATTGCTATAAAGATACATAGAAACAACAAGGTTCAATATTAACAGTAGAGGTGTCAATTAGTCCTGAACGATATGAAGGCAATGTCCCTACGCTGAGTTCAATGGGCCCAATAGGGCTGACGCCGACATGGAGCTGCGGAGGGCTTTTTTTAAGGGGGGAAAATTATCGAATGACTGCTCCCGCCTGGGTGCCTGGGTTCCTTCTCCTGGTAGGAACGGGGTAGTTTTTAGTCAGTAAATGTCTGACATTCCCTCCCGCCTCACCCGGGCGGTAGATTATCGTTATAATATAATATATAAGTAATAACCTAATAATTTTTACAAACATATATTGTGAAAATTTTTTTTCTAATATTTATAAAACGTTAATAGGCGATGTGGTAACTTGTGATTATGATTCCCTTTTTACTTTGAAATTAGTCGGACACTCCTGATATAAATATTATAAACTATAAATGAGGTATAGGTACTTTAGTTTACAAATAAATAACGAAACTTAATTTTCAATATAATTATTATATATTAACATTTTAAAAAAATATTATTAACATAATGGAAATGGAAAACCTTACATACTAGTGTCTACATTCCGGTTTATCCCGCCACTCATGACAATAGCATTTAGGTAAACACTGCCAAAATCCATAGGGCCTAAAGAACTCTTCTTTGCAAGCACATCCTGGGACACAGGGTTCAGTACAGTTCGTTTTCAGGCTCCCCATTGCCGCGCAGCTTTCGTCCACACAAGGGTTTTTGCACTCCGTGTACACCTCGCCTTCACGGCAAGCCGGGCCTAGATATTTTTTTGTGTGATTAGACAATTTAGGTAAATATATATTAACTTTTAGTGGCATAGTTTTCAGGTTAAACAATGTCTACAATACATTTTTTATGGTTTTTTGTTTGGGTTAAATTATCTACTACTAGCGACCCGCCCCAGCTTCCCATGGGTGCAATATGCATTTCTTATACATATAAACTTTCCTTAAAAACCACTCTATCTATTAAAAAAAACGCATCAAAAGTCGTTGCGTAGTTTTAAAGATCTAAGCATACATAGGGACAGACAGACGGCGGATAGCGACTTTGTTTTATACTATGTAGTAATGAATTGTAAATTTTACTATTGTTTATTTTTTATTAATAGATAACACTAATATAATAAAATGTAAAAGTTTCTGTATTTGGATGCTTGGAATTTCGAAGTTTGGACATTTGTCCGTCAATCACGCTGAAACTACAGAATGGATTTTGATATTTGGTATACATGCAGTGGTATGGGCTGACTTAGGTGATAGGGTACTTTTAATCCCGATTAAATGCTCCCATGGGATAAAACTGACTGCAGGGTTGGTGCGGTGCGATCCACAAATTGTTGTTTCGGGTCTGGGTGTGATGTGTATGTGAAATTGTATGTTTGTAAACGCACCCACGACACAGGAGAAAATCCTAGTGTGAGGCAACGTTTTTTTTTTTAAAAAAAAACAGGAATCATATTCTACGCGGTTGGAGTCTTTTTTTTTAATGGGACAAGCCCGCCACAACCTCCCTAAACCACTGCAACTCCTGTAAGCCAGGATCTACAGTAGATACGGGCGGAGTCGTGGGCAACTGTTAGTAAAAAATATAAATATATGTATTGTTAGAGATGACCAATAATCCATCTTGAACTTTATATAAAAAGCGCGGGACAACCCGCGCTCGGCCATTTTGTCAGCTATCATTCGGAGTGGGATAATCGGTCAAGTTCTGTGAGACATATACTTATTTTTCATATTAATTAACTAAATGCTTATTGCTATTATATATTTTCATATTGAAAGAAAGAAAAAACATTTATTTGACAATTAACACACACGATTATAAAAAATAAAAATACAGATATATGAACAAAATACTAATAATAAACTTAAAAGAAAAGACATTAGAACAAAAAAAAACATCACAGTGTAGTAACAAAATAAAAATACCATAAAACAGAATTTTGAATATACAAAAAAAAAATCAAAGAACAAACATTGAGTGATTGTTATTATGATCCTATTTACCTCTATATAAACATCATTTAATAAGTTTCATTTGAAATTATATTCGCGTAGGTAATTTAATAAAAGGTACTACTACCTCCCATATAGTTTATTTTTAAATGAAAACCTTAACTTCTGATGTCTTAAAGTATATAACGATATATCACACTGTTCTTCTGGAACACACTCCCCACCCTCAGTCTTCCTGTAGTAACCCTCTTTACATACACATTTTGGTCCACAGCGTGACACAGCGGCTGTACAATATATTAATATTTTACGCGTGTCACAGGTCTGTTCTGGAGGGCAGCTGTAAATGCATCGGTTGTAGTACTCGTTTTTACCACATTCTGAAAAAAAAGACAAGAATATTAACAAATAACAACATAATATCATCACACCTTTTTACCCCGAAGGGGTAGGCAGAGGTGCACATTACGTCACTTAATGCCACTGTACAATGTAACAACACCCACTTTTCACTGTTTTATGTTATGAGTCCCATATAATAGGGGGTGAGCCTATTTCCATATACCAGGCACATTTCCAGACTCCGTGTCACTACTAAGATTTTTCAGTACTACCGACTCGGGAATTGAACCCAAGACCCCTTGCCTGCCAGTCACACTTGCGACCTCTCGGGCAACGAGGCAGCAACATGGTAGATAATATACTAAAAAAACATTATGTATTGTACGGTTACCCCATCGGTGATTAAAAAGCGTGATTATGGTTATGTAGACAAATCGTTTTGAAAATATTCAATGAAGAAAAACTCACCTATATCGTTTGTATGTTGTAATTGTTCACGAAGACTTCTAAACCAAGACGAATAATTTCTGTACCCCACAGCTAGTCCCACACAACAGACAGACAGCAATACTGCACACCGCCACATGTTGCCGGCTGCTCGAGTACCTATTGACGTGTTCAACTTGCAAGTGTTCATCAAAAAATGTGCATCAATAATAAATAAGTAATACAATATCAAATGATCATTAACAGATGTTCCGTATTTAGTGACGATAAGAAAATATCGGATTCAAATTACATTAATGTTATGTTAATTTAGTAGTGGACTACGGTTGGCGCATCGCTGGGTGGCGTGGCTAATCGCCAGTTCGATTCCCACTTCGCATTCAATAACACAGAGATTTTCATTTTTTGAAATTGGTTAAAATTGACATTTAGACAGAGAATTAGAGTTAAGAAAGTATTTAATTCTTACTTAATACAAAAATAATATTCGTTGTCTACGTAGGTACTTAAGTTATGTCATGTAGACTACTCTACGTAGCGTGTCCGTACCATGTACTACGCGCTCTGCCCAGGGACATTACCTTTTACCAGTTTTTGAAGCAGTAATTGACACCTTTAATATTAGTTTTTAAACTCGTTGTTTCTGTGTACCGTCTAATCTTTTTATTGAATCAATTGTGTAAATATTATTATATCATTTATATAATTAAGGGCTACATTATTTGGAAATTTGTGAGCTGATTTAACAGCGATTAATATCAACGCATTATTGATTAATTCGTAAGCCTTGTTGCCCAAGCGACCGCTCGGTATTCGCAATTGCTCAATTATTTCTGTAGTCTAGTAAAGTCACTCATTATTCAGATAATAATAGCCATGAACAGCAAAAAGTGTCTCTTTACTATCTAGCCAAACCCCTAAGAGAAAAAAGGCCTTAAGTTACTTTCACATAGGTACTTCACATTTTATATAGTTTTCTATTTATAAACTACAGACTACAAAAAATATAAATTATTTATTTTATTGATATAAATAACAACTTCCAAACTTCAGTGTGTCGATACACAGTGACTTGTGAACATGTTTCTCGTGTTAATGATCTGTCTTGTAGGATCAGTTGTAGCTCAAGACAAGTTCTTATACAAACCCAGAGTTCGGAATATTGGTAAGTTTAAGCATTTTTATAATTTACGTAAACTAAGGTTTAAATAAATATATGGAATAATAATATATGCTTTATTGTACACCACACAATCACATTATAGGATAAATATTAACAAAAATAGTGTACAATGGGCGGTCTTATCGCACAAGGCGATTTCTTACAGACAACCTTTGGATGGAGCAGTAGTAGGAGTCTGATATGGGTCGTCAAGTGTACAATAATTAATTATAAAGTACTATTCATATAATACAAAAATACAACTACAACTCAATAAAATAAAAATAAAAATAAAATTAATGAACAATTTTATTGTGAAAACCCTTATAACCTTTACCATAGGTACCCAATAATGATCTTAAATTCCCAAGTAATCGCCATACATACCTGCAAAACCTATTTTTAGGTTTTCAAAGAAATTGTTGAAGCCATGTACCAATTTATGAATGCATAGTTATAGAAAAATAAACATAGAAACTTTCTCTTTGTTGCAATTGCAAGCGTATTGTGACGACACATGTCACACTCAACGGATGACGTCATAAAATCCTTCATCGCACATGCGAATTTTATAATCGAATTAACAGAAGTATAAAATCCCAACGAACCACTGTTGAGCAGAAAGCCCGCCAGGCACGATCACCTCGCCTGGTCCGAGGATCCTCCTTTTCCTATCATAGGGAACTATAATCTCTGTTCCCTAAAGTATGAAATAAGCCTCAAAGAGCCGTCACACCACTGCAGATGGAGCCCAATAGGGCTGATGGCTTCGACTCGATGTGCAGGAATAGGAACAGGGTGGTTTTTAATCAGTAAAAGTCTGACACTTCCACCTCACCCGGGCGGCAGAAGTCATTCGATGGTTTTCCCCCCACAAAATATATGCGTATAAAATAATTAAAAATAGGTATCGAAAACTATCTATGTCCGATGATTGGAAATACCTAGGGAATTATACATACATTAGATAATTAATATTAAGTATTATCAGTAGCACAAAACAAAACATCTATCTTACTAACGACTATCATAATCTTATAACATACCACCTACTTTGACAGTATTTTGATGTTTATCACACAAAAGCTGTGAATCAGAGCATTAGATAACAATTTAATCAATGAAACGTTAAGCTGTAGGAAAACATGATAATTATAATATGATAATATTCATTGACGAACGCATATTATGAAATAGCATAACATATTGCAAATATTGTTTTCGTGATACGCCCCCTATTATAAAGACAAGGACACGTTAATTAATTGGCAGGGAATAGAATTTAAGTAGGTAGATAGGGGGATAAATATGAGTTAAGAACTTTGTGAGCTATGGGGCCCCGGCTCGAAGCTGCAGTAGAAATGGGTTGGTTTATCTTCTATACTTATAATAAATCTGTAGAGAGGTCAATTCTGTACATAAAATATATTTAAAAAATAACTATCAAGGGGTGGTTAGGGATCGCTACTGATGCCAAAAATGCAATCAGTAAAATTTTTGTCTGTCTGTCTGTCTGTATGTTCGTTATGGAAACAAAAACTACTCGACGGATTTTAACGAAATTTAGCACAATTATTCTTCATACTCTTGGGCAGGTTATAGTATACTTTTCATTACGCTACGATTAATAGGAGCAGAGCAGTGAAGGGAAATATTGGGAAAACGGGAGAAGTTACTCCATTTTTTTAAGCTTCCGTCGCGTGTGCAGGCTTAATGTTTGTTACTCAGTCATATTAAAACGACTGAAGGGACCGGAATGAAATTCGGAACAGAGGTAGAATATGGTGTGAAGTAATACATTGGCATTTTCCCCCTGGGATCGCGGGCGAAGCCGCTGGCAGAAGCTAGTATTTAGTAAGAGTCTGACACTCTCGCCTTACCCAAGGCGGAAGAAGTTATTAGATGGACGAAAGCCATCGTTAAGAACAGAACCCGCGCCACATTGCGTAACAGTCGGTCAGCTAGTCAAGAGCCAAACACAAAGCTACAGTTATTGTGACAAGGTTTTTATTTAAAAAAGGTGCATCTATAATATTTACTAGCAACTAATCATACATCATGCCGCAGAAGACTTAGCGGGTTGCCAAGGCTCCGGCTCGAAGGGCAGGAGTAGGAACGGGGTGGGTTTTAGTCAGTGAGACTGACACTCCTTCCCGCCTTACCCAGACGGGAGAAGTCATACGATGATTTTCCCACGTCAAAAGAGAAAAAAAATCACATATCATACCTACTTATAATGTTAGGCATTGTAATTATTATACCTGAGACCTGATAGTCACCATGTACTACTATGATACCTACTACCCTACTACGTATGTAATGTCAGTCATTGTAATTATTCTACCTGACTATAATAGTTACTGCACTGCTAATGATCATTATTTTTGCTTCTAACTTCTAAATTATAGGCGAGTTCGCTAGTGTAAGAAACACGTTGTTTATTGCGTGCGCGCACCTAAAGGGGGAAGTACCTTCTAATTTAACCGAGCGTGTTTTTGACGTCTATAAAAAACTTAAGGAAAACCTGTTTTGTTGATCCATTTGTCAGGTTCAGATGAGAATAATATTTGTCTTAGTACATACTTCTATATTTTTAGAATGCCTCGATTTTTTGTGTGGTTTTGAGCTACTTCTGAACAATATTAGCCCTAGGTTCAATCCGCAAGTCGGGCAAAGTACAAATACTTTCTAAGCTAAGTGTTGGAGAGCCATGCTTCGGCACGAATGGGCCGGCTCGACGAAGTGATACTACGAGCTCACAGAAAAACCGACGTGAAAGCGTGTTGCGTTGCGTTTCGTCGTGTGAGTGAGGTTAGATACCGGAGGCACCCCAATCAACAATCCAAACCATCCAAACAATCCTAAATTTCCTAATCCCCAAAGGCCGGTAATGCACTTACGGTATTGTGGGTGTCCATGGGCGTCGCCAAATGGACACATCAGGTGATCCGTCTGCTTATTTACCGTCAAATCCCATAAAAAAACCTTGATTTTTTCCGACACATTTGCTATGTAGCAAACTGATGAAAACTGGTTGTAGGTTATATGTGCGCCTTTGCTTACCCTTTCAGGTATTATAAAATCATCAACAGCCTATAAATGCCCACTGCTTAGCAAAGCCTCTTCTCACCCGGAGAAGGTTTGAGCATTAATCACCACGCTTGCTCAATGCGGGTTGGTGATTTCAAACTTATAATTAGAAATTTATAAGCCTAAGGTTTCCTCACGATGTTTTCCTTCACCGTTTGTCAGTGGTGTCTGAATAATCTTAGAAAGTACCTACATATAACTCGGAAAAAGTCACATTGGTACTTGCCGTTAATAGGTTTCGAACCCGCACCCTCATACATGAGTAGGGGGCGTCTTAAACCTCCGGGCCACCACGACCCCCATTATAAAATGAAATAAGGTAATACATACCTACTTACGTACCTACTTAAGTAATGTTATGTTTTCTTCTTCTTTCAGAATGTGGAGCTAACGAAGTGTTCGAGTGTATATTTTCGTGTCCTCCCCAACCAATTTGTAATACTAGACATGAGAACATTACCTGTTCAACCGTGGAAGAAACCTGCTCGCACTGGTGTGTCTGTGTTCCCGGTTACATTAGAAATACCCTGGGAGGTGATTGCATACCAAAGAGCTATTGTGGTAATTGTTTAAAAATATTATAGCATTTTGTTTCAAAGCTAAATGTGTATTAGGTACTTAGTAAGTACCACTATCCACCTGGATAACAACAAACAATTACCTTATTAGGTGTAGCATAGAGTGGGTAGATAATTGTGGCCACCGGGTCCCTCTCAATAGGCCAACCCCACCAGAGCCCCCACCGTGCAATGCAAACGCCAGTTAAGATGATAACAATTAAAACTTAATTTCATTATTTCCAGCGCTTCCATGTTCCGAGTTTGAAGAAGCCACGGATTGTAAACGTGTTTGCTTAAACGAAACTTGCGCTGGAATCGGAGGTCCGAACACGTGCATTCAAAGACCCTGCGAACCGGGGTGCGATTGCAAACCTGGATTTTATAGGAAGGAGGAACGTAGACCGTGCGTGCCACTTTGTGAATGTCCAGAGAAAAGATATTCGGACGAATGTTTGAATAAAACAGTGAACAATGAATTTTGGTGATGTTTTTATAGAATGATTAAGTAAATAAACTTCTCATTTTTATCAAAAGTTAAGTCTTTTAATTTTAAGCTAAAGGTACCTAGTCAGTTATTATTAGCACTTACAAACTAAGTACATTATATTATAAGTACTTATTTACTCAAAAATATACCTACGCTCGCTACTTCCGCGCGGTTTCACATGCTCTGCTCAGCTCCTATTGGTCGCAGCGTGATGTTTTATAGCCTATAGCCATCCCCGATAAATGCGCTATCCAACAACAGAATTATTCAAATCAGGCTTGTAGTTACGGAGATTAGCGCGTTCACACAAAAAATACAAACTCTTCCGCTTGATATAATAGTACCTATAAGATTTAATTTAATACCTACGTACCTATTTAGTAAGTTAGTACTTTACTTAGAGATACACTTGCTAGAGCAAAAGCGGTTAATTCCTCGAAAAGATAGGTCGAGGAATCGACCGCTTGAATGCATTGAATCTATTGTTTCGCGTGGATCCGTGGTGATGACTGGTTAAATGGTTGTTATCCAATCTATTTTGTCAATTTAATTATCGAATAATTAATCAGATGCTACAAACTGATGTCTGGTCTGGTATAATATTAACATCTGCATAAATAAACTGTTACGTACGTATTGTGTCTGACCGATTGTTATCTCCGTAATAATACCTACCTATATAGATGGTAGTATTTTTGCACACTATGCATTCCATCTACCTATAGATACATACATAATATGACCTATATACAATAATTAGTCCTGCGTGTATAATTATTTTAATTTAGATCTAAACAATCAGGTAATTTATCTATACACTGATTTTGAAATGAATAAAAAAACATTAAAAACAAAACAAAATATTTAATACACCTAAAATCAAGGAATACTTACAAACTAAAAAACCAATAAATAAAATAAACTTCTAATGTTTCACAGTAGAAATGTGATAATACTTCTTGTCATCTTCACTTATAGTGTTAGGAGCTCCTGACAATGGGTCTCTGCCATCATGTGACTTAGGGAACGCTATCACTTCCCTAATAGATTCCGCATCACATGCCAACGTAACCAGTCTATCAATACCTAACGCAATCCCAGCATGTGGAGGACACCCACACTTCAACGCATTCAAGAAATGTGATAACTTCAAAGAATCAATGTCCAAAATCTTCAGTAGCTTTTCTTGTAACTCAGCATTGTGAACTCGGACGGACCCACCACCGATTTCATTGCCATTCATAACTATGTCATAGGCTAAGGATCTCACTTTTAACGGATCTGAGTCTAATAAATGCATGTCGTCAGGATGTGGTGATGTAAAGGGATGATGACAGGTCTCTAAGCCATTTTCTCCTTTTACAAATAAGGGGAAGTCTACCACCCATAATGGTTCTACATTTTCTTTTACTCGGAGTAACTCCTTTGATTTTAATAATGAGGCCATCATTAATCTTATTTCTCCTAAACAAATGCAGGCATTCTCATCTTCACCTAAAACTATTATTGCTGCATCATCTCCTACAACATTTTGAATCCTTGCTCCAATTTCTATTCCCAATTCCTTATTAATATTTTCATTTAATACCACTTTACAGGAATATTTTTTGGCAAATTCTTTAATTTTTTCTTTATATTTTGTTGTTAATTTCCCAATTTCTTTTGTATAAGGAAGTGCATATGCGCCAAAGTCTTCCTCATCAGATTTTTCAGGGAATAAATTCTTGATATTTACAAACTTCAAGTCAAATGTTAGGTTTGGTTTGTCTGATCCATAATTTGATAATGCATCTTTGTAAGTCATTCTTCTGAAAGGTGGCTTCGGTAGTTGTTTGACAAAAGTCTCATAAAGTAAATGTTCAATCATAGTTAAGACTCCATCTAGGTTGGTGAATGATAATTCAATATCCAATTGTGTGAACTCAGGCTGTCTATCCGGCCGAGTAGTTTCATCTCTGTAACATCTTGCCACTTGGAAGTATCTATCAACACCACCCGACATGAGCATTTGCTTGAACTGTTGTGGACTTTGGACTAAAGAATAGAACAATCCCTCATGATGTGTAGGCACTACAAACTCTCTCGCACCACCAGGAGTCCTACAAAACAATGTAGGAGTCTCAACCTCAACAAACCCATGATTCTCAATCAAAAATCTTCTCATATTGTGCAACATGTGTGAACGGATTCTCAAATTATTCTGCATTTCAGGAAACCTCAAGTCTATGTACCTGTGCTGCAATCTAAGCTGTTCTTTAGGTTTTTGGTAATCTCTCAGATTAAATGGAAGCTTGTCTACAGTGTTGAGTACTTCTAACTTGTTCATAACAACTTCTATTTCACCAGTAGCCATTGTTTTATTGATCATGTCTTTAGGTCTAAGTGACACAGTGCCTTCAATCTTAACAACTGTTTCTAAAGGTATATCAGAGAAGTTTATGTTGTCGTTGTTTACTATGCATTGTGTCAGGCCATATGCGTCCCTTAGTAAAAGGAATTTGGATAATCTAGAGAACTGAATCCAACCACAAAGAGTGACTTTCAGTCCTTCATGTTGGGGCCTAAGTTCTCCACAAGTATGAGTTCTATATGTAAAAGTATTACAGTTTTGATCTTCGACTAATGGTTTAATGCTTTGTTTAGTCTCATGAAAACTTTTCTGCGGCAAAATCGAAGGATTATAGGTTATGTTTTTATCTTGAAGTAGAGTACTACTAAATCTTGCAACAGTCTTCTGTTGGCGTAATAAGTGCTTGGTCTGATGGCAACACGAAGAAACCGAGAAGTATTTTAAACATGTTCTGTTTAAATTCATATTTCTAGCCAACATTTCTAAGTTTTGATAGCACAATCTCGAACGTTATAAAATTATATAAAAACTTGCGTTCCCAGTATTTTAATAATTCTGTAACATAATATACTTAATGTTCTTCTGAAAATCAACTATAACTTAGCAGATATATTAGAATTTATTTAAAAATTCAATTGTTTACAACTTCCTGGATAATCGGCTTGCATGTCATTTGACATTTGTATTGACAGCTTAGAACGTCAACTGTCAGATAACTTTACATTTTTTGAGCTTTTTGAAACAAAACCTTTTGAGTTATGTATTGATGCGTCCTAATCTGGCGAACGTGTTGCTTAGACGCGCGCACCCAGTTAGTATGCTATTCGAGAATTATTTATTTAAAGGTTTGAACCGTGAACACCACTAGAAACTAAGACTAAGCAAGTCAACGCAACTAGTACCGAAATCCAATAGTTTTGTCATTGAATTACATGGACGATCGCTCGTGCTGCTAAGAAATGTTAGTTAAGTGCTAATGAATTCTGAATGCCAAGTATCTCTGCACGAGCGAATTATCTTAAGGTGGGTACAGATTGGTGCAATGCAACATGTAATGTAATATTCTGCCTTACATTGCATGTTCCTTGCTGCCTTGGACGTGTGGCGCGCGCGGTACGCGCATTGGCTACGAATCATTCGAGAACATCTGTTCCCACATTTCGTTACAAACACTAGCCCTCGTCACACGTGTTCTTTTCTTTGCCCACATCACTACTAAAGTCGATATACACGAATCATGGAGTCTGAAGACAGCCTTCTTGCTCTGACGATTATCAGTGCATCATTATTAATCATCATGACAGCGACTCGTCATCACTCCACGCATCCTCTTTCACCGCAATGATCGTTGCGCATGCGAACGAAACGAACGACCGTCCACGGCTGAGTCCTGAGCACACTGCGCGCCCCTTTGTGTTCGTTTCGTACTAAAAACCGACAAATCTCGGATCGAGCCGCGCATGAGTTGTAACGCTCGGAGCGTCCGCACTATGGGAACCCTGTTACATTACACGATACATTGCAACAATGTGGACCTCAAATTCTTGCATTGCACCAATCTGTTCCCACCTTAAAATGTCGAGTGCCAGTTAAATTGGTGTAAGGTCAATTTACATTAACGCAGAGTCCAAATGCATCGAAGCATTTTTATATTAACAAAATTCAATTCAACCTTAACTCACGTAAGATTTCAGACATTTGCTGCTGATACCGAGGTTCTGTGGTAAACAGTGATACTGATTTTTTTCTGACTGAGAAAAGTACTTCGCTATCATCCTAATCACCTCCAGTGTAAACAAAATGACCTAAGCAGCTGGAGCGTCACTTAGCTAAAATCAGACACAAATGGCAGCCTCGGGCATCGAACCCAAGACCCATTGGTATCCAGTTGGATTTAATAAAAAATAAATGAAAGACAGTAAATGGTAAATTATTTAAAGATTTATTAACTTTAGAAATAATACATAAAATCTGAAAGTACTCAATAGTAACATTGTGATAGTGTCAAGGCAGTGCTTTCACTCTGAATATATTACGATATAAGCACAAGGAAGCACGGCATAAGGCTCCTTTACCGCGGTAAATAATAGCCTAACTAAAACTATCAAATTATCACAAAGATAACTACTTATTTGAAAAAACAAAGTGGAAATTAGGAACGAAGTGCTTAAACTCCGAAACTTTAGTTTAAAATTCAACTTAAACTAATTAACAGTTGCGAAATTTAGGCACTTAGCAAAGATCAATACATATTACAATATAACAATTCTAAATTGAATAGAAAATCGGAAAAATTACAAAAATCAAAAACTGAACATTAGTTGTCAAAGTATCTTCTGCGATTGCGCGTCCGACATAAATAGGTCAAAGAAATAAATTACAAAACTTAGTCAATGCAGATAATGTCAGAAATGGAGTTACAAAGAAGTCGCTTAGCCTAAAAATACTAAAAAAGCTTTATCGCCATCAACAAAAACAAAAGATAAACCTTTCAAATGTATCTTAACTGCACAACCATCAGATTGTCGTTAAGATTTGAACATCACAACAAAGTTTACAATAGAATTTCTGCTTTATTTACTCAGAAATAAAGAAAAAAATTTGAAGAATCAAAAACCTAAGTATTAATTTGAAGGAAATCAAACGCTGCGCCAGATAGGCATAGGGACAGACATTGGTCTTGGGTACAAGGCTGATGCTGGGTTTATGTAATCATAGGGTAGGTTCACACAGCTTGGCATTGGAGACATGATGGTAGGGTAGACTGGCGCCAGTGTCGGGGGTGGGGGTGGCATGGACTGCTGAATGAGGTCTGCTTTCAACATCTGTAATTGAGAAATAGTACTATGTTAAAACCAAGATCAATTAAGTACCTAATTAAGTTGTAGGATAAAACACTACTCTACTTGGGCTATTATGGCAGGCATAGCTAAAAATTTATAAAATAAATAAAAGATCCTATAATATCTGGCAATAGTCCTCAATATCTGGGCACAGAGTGGACACAAAGAATGCAATCTGTAGAAGTAGTTACAAAAATTCTTGGTTTTGTTCATGGAAGGTAGGCAAAAAGGCATATTCGGATGCTTTTTAAAGCTTTTATCTTATCACATTAACCGCTTGAATGCACCGATATAAGACAATAGAAAAAACATTGTTTCTTGCGAGGATCCACATTTAGACATACAACGGGTTACAATTTGCAATACTTAAATAAAGTACCTTTATTACTTGAAGAGCACTGTCAGCAGCCTCAATCTGTGCTTGTTGCATGGACATGCACGGTCTTGTGGCAAGAGGTCCAAGGCGTCTTGGTATACTCAGTAAGGGCATACCAATGTGTGGAATTTCTACTCTTCCTATCCAAATCTCTGTACCTGAAGGGTCCAAGTACTTCTGGTAGTTATAGACAGGAGGTGCCCACATATACCTGTAAAGCATACAATTAAAGGTCAGAAAAAAATTGCATTTTTTTTCTACAAATGCTCCTAAGAATTTACCAATAAATAAAATTGAAAATATAAGAGAAATAATTTTAAACTAATTAAGAAGGTAGAAATCAAACTTATACATTTGATTAATTGGTAATTAAAGTAAAGTACCTTTTGCACATAGAATCAAGTTTAGCTGGGGCCATGGGATATTGTTCTTGAATTTTGGTTGTTTGAGGGTAGGCTGAACAATTCATCTCCGAAGGTGATCCGCATGAAGACTCTCCTGCACAAGCAGAACCAATTCCTTCATCATCTTTTGGAGATGACATGTATTCTTTCTTCTCAAGCTGTTGTTTGTGCAACCACAAAGTTTGGGATAGATTGAAACTGTTGTTGAACTTCGCATTCCCTCTGTTTAATTTTTGAATGCGGTAAATCTCTCGAACAACCGGTTTCGCCCATCTAATCTCAATATTGCTGCCATCAATATCAGCATTCTGCAATTTCCTCATTGCCAACTCAGCATGTTCACGGTGGTAGAAATGAATGAAAGCGTAATCATAGATCTTTTTCACTCGCTCAATTTGATTACTGATTGCCGCTTCAAAAACTGCTTGGATAGTTTCAGGTGTGGTCTTAATTTGGAAGTTTCTTACATAGAGCACCTTTACCTGCAAAAGTATGCAGGTTTCATAAATCAAAATGTTCAATAGACTGTTTTAGTTTTAAACAATAATATCGGACATAACTTTAAAAGAGCAAGAGCTGTGTGGCAAGGCAGAAGGGGTCAAATTCACTTGGCATCACAGATCATTTGAGCAATTTGATAATGATAACGTCGCACTTTGTTTATCTAAACAAAATCGCAGTGCCATATTTATAACTAGGTAAGTACTAGAAGATGGACTTCGCAATTTAAAAGCTCGGTTTCTAATTAGCAACATGGCAGGTGTAATATCATCTAAACACAGCTGTTACAAGTAGGCTTTGTAAACGTAAATATTTAAGCACAATAGCAAAGAACTCTTGTAGGTACCTATACGGCACGTGCATGTAGGATAGGCTGCGGCAAAGATCGCAAAGCAGTACATTAGAACTTACTCACCCTTTGCATCTGTTCATCATCGATATCAGGCTCCGGTTCTGCCCAGTCCACCATCACCTCCTGGTCCCATATCTTCACACACCCGGGAACAAGTGCTCGTCGCGCCATCGCCGCTGCCCTGTGGGAAGTAAACTCCACAAACGCGAACCCTCTGTTAAGTCTCTTGTCATAGCAATTCTTGTACAGAATCAAGTCAACTATTCCAGCCACGCGCTTGGACAGCTCTTCAAACACTTCTTCCTTAGTTTTGGACTTTGGTATGTTGCCGACGAACAGGCGACAGTTGTCTACTGATTTTACGACGCCGATGTGTCGCCTTGGGCGAATTTCATAGCCATTTAATTCTTTCACAGCCCTCGAGGCTTCGGCCCTCGTAGAGTAAGTTACAAAGGCGTAGCCCCGGTTGGAGCCGGAGAAATCCATCATTAATCGCATTTCATAGATCTTACCCGCTTTTGAGAACACTGGTACCAGTTCATCTTCGAAGATCTCTCTGGGAAGCTTGCCAATGAAGATTTCGCAGCCTTTTTGTGGCGGGGGGCCAACCCAGTCCGGAGGAGGACCAAACTTGCGCTGTCCATTGTGCTGCACGAGCGGGTATCCAGTTTCTTGCATCAGGTCCAAGAGTTTCCGCGTCATACACTCTCCTTGCTCTACCATTTTGATATGATTAATATTACCAATCAACAACTTTAATACGCACTGCTTATCGACTGATGGCGAAAAAGCGGCAAATCAAAGTAGCGGTCCCCTTTATAGTTTCACCGACAAACATCGGGCGGCGGCTGTGACGTCACAAACGATTCGAATTTACCGCTGATGGCGTGTACGTTTGTCATCTTAATTCATTTGAAAATAAATATGTACGACATATAATTAATAATAGATTTTAAAATGAATTTAATTTCATAAAATTACCTCTCTGAGACGATTTAAATGAATAAAGTAGTTTTATTGAGATTACATGGTCGGTAACTCAAAGGACAGAGATAGGTAGTTATATTTAAGAGTTCCGTTTTCGCCTTTGTTTATTAATTAATTTAAAATTAAAACAAACGCATATTAGTTAAAATAAAGTAATACGAATATTGATGGAATTAATTATTATAAATGTTTTGTTTTTTAATGACAAGTGTTTTTGTAATTACTTTGTAAACTTTGTTACTTTTTATTTAATTTATTATTGTTTTCGTTAACTACTGAATAAGAATTTAGTTGTTAGTTATACATTCACTGCAATAACTAGGTTTACATAAAGTAATAAATTATTTAATACAAACAATTCATAAAAAGTATTTTCAATCATCATTTTGTCGTTACTCATCCAATATTAATGTTTTTTATTATTTTGTATGAGATAATCAAAAGAAAATTATTTTCCTACGATATTACTATGAATAAAAACCTTTATTTAAAAGTTGTCGAATAAAGAATATAAAAAAGTATTGATCAACGTTTGTTTATAGTAGAAGTTAAAGTGCTTGTCAATAGATGGCGTAGATGTAAATTTTCACATAAGTGCATGGGGAATCCCTTGGGTATTCGAATTATTTATTACGTACTTACATATTGTGTAAGTTAAGTTAACACTAAAGTTATGGTCATTATAGTAACAAAATATTTTTCCTGGAATTTGTATTGGTTTTGAGGTAGATTGCTCCATCTTTTACTTCTAGCTTCCCTGTTATTTCTCCCTTTACTTCATTCGGTTGATAAAACGCATGAAATAATTATGTGATGTATGTTTATTTAGTCCAAAATGATGCTTACGTCTTGTTTATGATTAATGTATATCTTCAGTCCAATTGTTCTTTCTCAATAAAAGCTATTTGTTGCACAGAAATAGACAACATTTACCTATATTTTTAAGTGCATCACTATCGCATTAGGATATATAATTTACCCGTAATGTTAGTCGAAATAAATAAATAAATGAATGTAAAAAAAGCACCATGTGTGTTTAATACAAAGGATGGATGATCTTAGAATGAAGTGTCTATCAGCTCCGCATCTAGGTAGTCTACAGCCAAACTTAGCATGGAATAATAACATCTTATGATTTAAAATCAATGATGGGAACATGCCACATAAAAAAACGAAACCAAATTCAATAATTTTAATATGATCTGTAATACACGTACAAAATAATTATATCCTTATGTCATTAACTCAGTACACACAACACACGGTAACAGTCAAACGAGCATACAGAAGGATTATATTGAATTTACACCTAATAGCCTATATACTACTTACAAGATTGAAATTCGATTGGCACGATATATCATATTTATATTCAAAAGGTATGGGATGTGGTTATAACTAGCTATACGACTTTCGCCCTTAAATACATGTATTTGCTTTAAGCTTTTAAGCGTTCGCATAGCTGTTAAATATAAACTTGCTTATACAAAGAAACTCTATTCCTAGTAATATGTCCAACGAAAACTCCGAACATATATGTCGAAGGATTATCAACCACAGGTCTCTTTTCGAACCACAGATTACAAACAACATGTTTGGATGGCTTTTTTTAAGGGGGAAAATCATCGAATGACTGCTCCCGCCTGGGTGAGGCGGGAGGTAGTGTCAGACTCTTACTGACTAACACCCCGTTCCTTCTCATGCGCTACGGTAACCCGTTAGGTTCTCCGCGGCTCCGAATCGGCATCAGCCCTGTTGGGTCCCATCCGTAATGGTTGGATGGCTAGATTTAAAAGATCTTCAGTAAACGGGGGTGAGACTATTGTCATATAACAAGAATCCAAGCTATAATAGATTTTTTATAATCCAAAAACCCAATCATGCTTTGTCCTATCTGGGGTACGAACAAGAGACCTTATGTTTTTATAATAACTATCGTGAGACATACTAAATTAACTAAAAATCACGGGTTACTCACGTAAATATACTGAGAAAAGCTCTATTAGTTTCGAACCACAGAGGGGTTTTTCCTCATGAACAGCGTGCGCGGTCGCAACCCGTGATTTTTAGTAGACCTTATGCTTAGTATTTGCGCTAGTTCTTGTCCAACGAAGTAGTTAAAATATTTGAATATTACAATAAATCAATTCATAACTTAAACCTATATTTATCACAATCAAATAATACACTAAAAGCAGATCTTTGAGATACAATATTAACAGTGAACCCTGCCTTAGGAATGATCTATATTACATGAGCACATGAAGTAATGCAATTTAAACCTTATACCAAACAGAATTAAAGACTAAACTTGAAAAATAATGAGCTAAGGGTGAAGAAAATTTTTACAGTCCTGATCTACATTACATGAACACACAAAAGAAAGCAATTTCAACCTTACGTAGAAAAGATTTAAAGTAAAAATTGGAGCAACAACGAAAATATTCAACAAAACAAAAATAGCTGATACAAAAATGTTTATATGGGCCCACCAATGAATGCAATTTAAACCCTATGCTAAACATAATTAAAATCAAACTTCCAGCAACTATAAAAATGGTGAAACAGCAAACCATTTATGATACAATAAAACTTGAACCCTATCTTTTACCAGTAAGTGCTAAAATTGATCAACTAGTGTCAATACAAAATATAGGTCACGTATGCGAGGCTCAATACATTACAATTTATACACAAACACTTCATTTTACTATCACAAGCAACTTATATTTATAAATATTTACAGTAAAATATTCTTATTATTAAAAAAATGGAATGATTTTACAGGGATAAATAGGCACTCAATTATTAACTCTGTACATATTGTTATAAAGTTGAATTTTAGTTAACAGAAAGACTTGTACTGTCTTTTTAATGTCAGCCAGGAAATATTAGTTATGTTTAGGTAAAAAAGAAACATAATTTATGGTAAAAAAAGTTTTTTAGCCTTGCTGAAGTCTTTTTAAATATTTTTCTAGTACCTATTACCCTTTTGTGTAACAAATATTGTTCTTAAAAACTAAACTGAACTTAAAATAAGAACTATTGATACTATACAAATAATTACAAATATCTGACGCGAAATATGAATATCGGCAAACAGCTATAGTATTAAAAACTGATTTTTCCAAAGTTCTTACATAAGTCTATGTGATATTAGATAACCAATGAATGATAGATGTTTTAAAATAAATCTTAATATACAAGGTTTGAAGTATTTTAAACAGTTTTATAGTTCCAAACAAAATTTATAATTTACAAAACAAAAAAAGAAATACAATTTGAGCTCGACTTCAACTTCAGATTTTCGAAAAACAAATGAAAATAAAAAAAAATCGATCACTCGGCATAATCTCACAAAACATAATCTCCTGCGTACACAAACATCAAAACCACTTAAAAAAAAACAATTTACATTTCAGAATTTTGATCTAAGCCCTTGTTATCGTACCCACGTGAAGTGGTGACGGAGGCGCCATCTGTGTCGAAGCTAGCGTCAGTGTCTATCTCTACGACCCACGGTTGTATCTCCGCGGAACAGAAGAGTCCGTATATTATCGCACCTATCAGATAGATGGCGCTGGATATGAAGAAGACTATACGCCATTGGTCTGCAGACTGGAAAAGAAATAAGAGCGTTGTTAATATAAATAAGAACATTGTTTTCAATGGGATAAATACTGAAAATATTTTAAGATATCAACAAAAAAGGTCGTAGAAAATATATAACTAGAGAGAACTATATATCTTTTAGGCTATTATTCGAAATATGTATCTATTGTAACATCCACTACCTATCGCCACTGGTCAGTTGAGTTATCAATGGTTATACTTAAAACCAATCTTTATTTTTTTAATTTTATTGTATGTACTGTTACACACTTACTTAACTATTTGACGAGGCAACTCGAATGCAAGTCATGCTAGGGGATCATAATTATGAGCAGTATTGTGCGGCAAATTTCGCGCCGAGCATCGGGTATTCATTTATTTTCTAACATGGATTTCAAACAACCTGGTAGACTGTTCTTACTGTCAATATGTATAATAATAAATCTGTACATAATTACATAACATAACATCACGCCACTTATCCCCGAAGGGGGGTAGGCAGAGGCGCACATTCCGGCACCTAATACCATTGTACAATGTAACATACACTTTTCACTTTATCTTAAGTCAATTCCAGACTGTGCTACTACTGACATATTATTTATAAAAAACCCAGTAATATTTTGTCCGACCCGAGAATCGAACCCGAGACGCCTTGCTCGGCATTCGCACTTGTGATCACTTGTCCAACGAGGCAGTCTGTACGAAATTACAAAACACATTTACCTTATCAGTAACGATGGCTCCAGCCAGCGGCGGGGAGATGATGCCGGGCAGGGTCGCGATAGTGTTGGACAGACCCATCAGTACACTCGCGTGTGGGGGGGCTATGTCCAGGTGGTTCACACTGGAATATACAGGGTTAATTGGTAATTATATAGCTCTATAGTACTATTACTTATTATTATTACTAACAAGGTACATCATCAAGACCGAGAAAATATTGATTTTGTAGTCATAATATTTGTGTTAATACTAAACTAAGCTAAGTGTGAGAGCCATGCTTCGACACGAATGGGCCGGCTCGACCGGAGTGATACCACGGCCTCACAGAAAACCGACGTGAAGCAACAAGCTTGCGTCGTGTTTCGTCGTGTGAGTCACGTTACTGGAGGCTGAGTTACCACCGTGCCCAATTTCCAATCTCCAAAAATCGTCAAATTACTAATCCCCAAAAGGTCAGTAACGCACTTGTAACACTTCTGGTGTTTCAAGTATCCATGGGCGGCAGCGATTGCTTACCAGTCCATCAAGTGATCCGTCTGCTCGTTTACCAGTTTCTTCCATAATAAAAAAACTTAAAGGTACTATACTTTAGTATTTTCATCTTCCAAAGAGAAGTTGGTTATATTGAACATTAGTTATACTCAGTAGACTAAGTAGACATTATGTACCTATATATCACAATGTATACCTGAATCCGGACCAGGCGAATCCTCCGAGGCCAACAGCGATAGTGAGGAACACGACACATCCCGTCACTGACGTGGAGTACGCCGCAGCTACCATGAACACCGTCTGTAATAGTAAAGTAACATTTGTTTCAAAAACTAAATAGAATTTCAAATCAGTTATTTTTTTCTCTCTCATACTCACTTTCACGCATGGGTGTGATTGTGATGTGTATGTATGTATATGTTTATGTCGTGGTAGCCCGAAGGTTTAAGACGCTCGCTTCTCATGCCTGAAGATCCTGAGAAACCTACCAACGGCAAGTAGGTACCAATGTGACATTTTCCGAGTTATGTGTACTTTGTAAGATTATTTAGCCACCACTGACAAACGGTGAAGGAAAACATCGTGAGGAAACGTAGGCTTAGAATTTGTAGTTATAAGTTTGTAATCGCCAACCCACATTGAGCAAGCGTTTAATGCTCAAAGCTTTCTCCGTGTGAGAAGAGGCTTCGCTCAGCAGTGGACACTTATAGGCTGTTGATGATGATGATGTTTACGTCATCCGGAACAATAATTTGAGGATTACACAAATAATTGTTCCGTGCGAGAATTGAAGGCCGCAATATTTTGCGCAGCAGTCGGTAGCGTAGTCACTGCGCTCTCGCTCTATGGCCAATTATAATGATAGCGTAGTTATGCACGGAGTCCTATTTTAAAATGTGTCAGATCTATCACACTAATATTATAAATGTGACGATTTCTTTGATTGGATATTTGTCCGTCAATCACGTTGAAACTACTGAACGGATTTTGATGAAATTAGCAAATTTCATCAAATTAGCAAATTTCATCAAAATTTCGTATTGCTGTACTGCTATACAGCTGGGGTATGAACTGACTTAGGTGATAGGATACTTTTTATTCCAATTAAATTCTCTCATGGGATAACACAGGAATCATGTTCTACGCTTACGAAGTCGCGGCCAACAGTTAGTTGGCTAATAATGCGATACTCAATTATGGATGTAACCGTTGAAGTTGCCTTAAACCATGGAATAATCAAGTGAGTTGTATGTTGACAAATTATTATGTCTATTTTGTATAAAAATGTGCAAATAAAACAGTAAAAAATTAAGGATATTACTAAAGCCAAACCTGTGACAGAAAAGCTCCACAGTTAAACAGCTTCCTAATATTGGTCCTGGACATCATCCCTCGCCGCAGCATCCAGTCCGCGATGTGTCCGGCCACCTGCAGTACTATCGCCATCGCCAAGTATGGGACGGCGGATAGCCAACCCGTTTGAGATGTCTCGAACTTGAATACATCTGTAAAATATGGAAGAAATTTTAATTGGGTGCTTTCCTTAACTCGTCGAGTACCGGTTTTGTAGACACAATTATAGAACAATAGGTTGCGGTCACCGGTGACCGCTTGGTGTTTGACAGTTTAATCAAAATCAAATATATACAAATTTTGATGAAATTAGCAAAATAATCGACTGTTTATACAGTCGAAATAACAATAACATATTTTAAAAATTTGCAAATAATGATATTTATAAATGTAATCACGCTTTCTTTAATTGATTTTATGACCAACTTAATTTTAGTATTTTACAGAACATTTTTAAGAAATAATTATGCTGTTTGACGCTAAAAAAACGTGACGTCACAACACAATACACAATCTCGTGCAAAATTCATTGAAAACTGTCGTTTTCTGATATATAGAAAACAGTATTAAAATTTTTACCTTTGATACAAGTAGATTATTGAGAAATTCGAAATGATAGTAACATCTATTGTCTGAACGATATACTATATAATTATACACTTATGTAATATATGTAATATAATTCTTCTGTGAGTGTGTATGTCACTGAACTTCTCTCAAACAACTGGACCGATTTTGATGTTGTGTGTTCAAGGGGATCTGGGTACGGTTTAGACTCACAAATCAGCCCGGCAGATGGCGCTGCAGTCGGTGTCTAGGTTATTTATCCTAAACAGCTGAACTAATTTGAATGAATTTTTGTTTATAAATTCAAGTAGATATGCAGGACTACGTCTGTTGGGTCCGCTAGTAAAATCATAATATAACTCATCCAAGCTCTTGGTTCAGAGAAAAATCAATTTCAATTAATTACCTTGCATAAACGTAGGTAGGAAAGTAAGTAACGTGTAGAAGCCCCAGTTTTCACTGAAATGTGCCATGACGATGGCCCAGACTGGCGCAGATTTGAGCATGTCGCCCCATGGGTGACGTATCTTTGATCCCTCCACTGCCTGCGTTCCTCGTGAATCCTGGAATGTAGTTGAATGAATTGAAATTATATTCATCATGATACATACATAACATCATGTCTTTTATCCCCGAAGGGGTAGGCAGAGGTGCACATTACGGCATTTAATGCCACTGTATGTACAATGTAACATCCACTTTTACTATTAATGTTATGAGTCTCATGTAATAGGGGGTGAGCCTATTGCCATATACCAGACTCCGTGCTACTACTGACATTTTTTTACAAACTCAGTAATACTTTGCTCGACCCGGGAAACAAACCCGAGACCCCTTGCCCGGCAGTCGCACTTGCAACCACTCGGCCAACGAAGCAGTCTTCTAGTAACTCATCATCATCAGCCAATTAATCTTAAACAACAATTTGCTGTAGGTACCTGAATATACTTGAGTTCAGCGGGAGATATATGAGGATCCTTCTCAGGTGACTCCTTCACGACCAGCCACCATATAGTAGTCCAGACCAAACCGGATAGACCTGTGATCGAAATAAGATAATGATATGAAGTATATTAAATAAATTAGTGACGTTCGAATATAAGATACCGACCGAAGATATCGACTAATGATCAGTTTCAAACTACCTGTAGATTTAGTTAATAGAGGTAGGATTTTGGTATAATAATATTTAGTTCATAAAATATCGAGTATAAGTTGCATACATATTTGAAAGTCAAAGTTAAATAATATGTCATGTTATGAGAAACAGACAAAAGAAAATTGTATGCATACCACGGCCCCACAGAAGACCGACGTGAAACAACGCTTGCTTTGTGTTTCGTCATGTGAGTGAGTTTACTGGAGGCCCAATTATCCCCCGCCCCCCGCTTCCCCAATCCCTGAATCCCCAACAATCCTCAAATTCCTTCTGCTCGTTTACCGCATTATCACAAAGTACACTTCAGATACACGTCAGATAGACTACCTAAAGAAGAAATTCATTCTTCAATTAATTTACTAAATTAATTATTACGTACCAAATACATAAAAGATGCCAGGCCAGCCAGTGTAATGAGCCAGTAGTGAACATATGGGCATAGACACGACGGTGCCTGCGTAGCTGCCGCTGAAGGCAAACGTTGCCAGGCGGGCGCGCTCCGGGCCCGGTGCCCAGCGGGACCATACCGCGTGGATACACGGGTACGTTACACCCTGTGGAAGATAATGACTTGGTTATAATGGTTATTACTTCGCGAAAGATAACTGCAAAGGTGTCCATATTAAGGGTCTCCGTAGAGGCAAGCTAATTGAAAGCCAGCCAATCCAGAAATGCTATCAAACTTCTTGTTGTTACTGAGAATTTCACGACTTTTCATTCTCAAAAAGGCAGGCAGGGTAACCACGTGTCGCGGAGAACCTAACGGGTAACCGGGGCTCCGGCTCGACGTGCAGGAGAAGGAACGGGGTGGTTTTTAGTCAGTAAGAGTCTGACACTCCCTGTTCAGGTACCACTCGGTACTGAACCACAACACTTCACTTCACTTCACTTTACTACTGGAACGTTCATTTACGACTTAACACTCCCTCCCGTCTCACCCAAGCGGGAGCAGTCATACGATGATTTTCCCCACTTAAAAAAAAGGGTAACCTCGTGGAGACATTTAGTGAACCAACTGTAGGAGATCACAGCCGCGGTGCGTATGTACTGGGAATAGGCATGGCGACTATTTTTTAATTTTTTGTCCACCTTTTAGATATTTTAAAAATATTCGACACGTATTTTTTCTTTTTTCTCGTATCCAAAAAAACATGTAGATATTTTGAGTTAAAATGACGCGTGACGTCACAATTAGGTACGATTTCTCCGTAAGTGTGACGTCAACACCCCCTACTCCCTAACTTTAATGCGGAATAACTACGTATTCTTCTGTTAATTTGATAAAACAAAAAATACCTGTCTGATATTTTCGTGCGATCTTAATGACGGACTAATTACTTTTTTGATTTTTTTACCCTGTCGACACGCCTATTCTAATGTAGTATGTGGAAGAAAACACCGATGTCTTCGTACACCAAGCAGGTTTATTGAACAGAGGCCTTAGTACGAGTTTCTTTTTCGTTTAAAGTAATCGTAACGATTACGCGTTCGGCGCTGTGATTGGCCGGCTCTAATGAACCAACCAATCAGAGTACAGAGGCCTTAGTACGAGTTTCATTTACGTTTAAAGTATTCGAAACGAGTGCGCGTTTGGCACTCTGATTGGCTGGCGCCAATGAACCAACCAATCAGAGCGCCGAACGCGTACTCGATACGATTACTTTAAACGTAAATGAAACTCGTACTAAGGCCTCAGGGGGCCAAGCACGAATAACTATCGCATTCGTATCGTAACAGTATCGAGCGAGTTAAGCGTTCTGATTGGTTGGTTCACTTGAACCGGCCAATCAGAGCGCCGAACGCGTTCTATACCAGTGTTTTTCAAACTGTGGGTCGCGACCCCTAGGGGGGTCGCGAAGCCTTACTCGGGGGGTCGCCGACTGAAAGAAAAACGTCTCCACCGAGTCCGCGGACCCGCCGGTCAGACAGGCCCCATATGATCCACGTTGGGCGCTGAGACAGCTGGACCGGGAGGTTTTCCTGGAAGCCGCAATTGTGCAGGCCTGGGTGATACCACCGGTCGGACGGTACTCAACGAGTTATATCGCGCGTAGCTTTAACAACTTACCTCGTACTTACTTTCAATACTCTCGCAGCTTCTTGCAGAGTAGACCTGAATAATTGATAAAGGTACCAAAATAGTAGAAAAAAATCATTAAGGTATGTAGTCTTAATTAAATTTTATTAGTTCTTAGTCTTTCTATGACACAAGGGGGTCGCCAGATTTTCTCAACTTGTAAAGGGGTCGCGAAATCAGAAAGATTGAAAAACACTGTTCTATACTATTACGTTACGAATGCGATAGTTATTCGTGCTTGGCACTCTGAACGCCGTCTCGTTTCGATTACTTTAAAAAGAATACGAAGAGAATAAGAAAAAGATACTTGTACTAAGGCCTCTAAACTAAATGTAACATGTAAACAAAACTTATAAATACGTATGACAATGTGATGGGGGGCGTCATCATAAAATTGTCGAGTGTGCTCGTACATCAACCACGTTTACTTCACCTAAGAACCAAAGAATCAACCAAGACCTCTTACATCGTTTCGTAGCTGCTATTACAAATTTACAACTAATCAATTAACACGACAATAAAACAATAAATTTTGTGTAAATTACCTCAAAGAATCCCTCGACGACTCTAACAGCAATCAGTAGGCCAGTACTGGTGTGCGCTAGCGGCGGTGTGAACAATGTCAGTAGAGATGTCGCGCCGATGCCTATCGCAAACACCCTGGAAAGTAGAGATATTTGTTATTTAGTTGCTGCCTCGGTGGCCAAGTGGTCGCAAATGCGACTGCCAGGCAAGGGGTTTGATTATTACTGGGTTTTTTTAATATCAGTAGTAGCGCGGAGTCTGGAAATGTGCCCAGTATATGGCAATAGGCTCACTATTCATGTAATAGGGGTTGAGCCTATTCGACTCGTAACATAAATAGTGAAAAGTGGGCGTTACTTTGTACAGTGGCATTAAGGGCCGTAATATGCACCTCTACTTACCCCTTCGGGGGTAAAAGGCGTGATGTTATGTTATTTAGTAAAAGTCTATCGAAAAGCTTAAGTTCAATAAATGGGACGCGATTATTGGAACATTTTCCTTCTTAGAAAAAAACTAAGCCCGGTGTCTGTGTGCAATAGGCTCACTCCATATACAGAACTTATAACATTACAGGCGAAACGTGGGTAATAGGTACATAGGTAGTATACCTCAACCGATATCTTCAAACCACATCATTAAAGGTAAACTAAATTAGGTTAAATGCTTATGATATTAAGATCTATTGTTCTATAAAACGGAACGAACCTGTTACCTCCTATTTTAGCCGCTAGCCAGCCGCCTGGGAGCTGTGTGATCAGGTATCCGTAGAAGAACGAGCTGAGTACCAAACCCTTAGTTTGTGAACTCCAGTCGAATTCTGGAATCTGAAAAAATAGGCAGGTGAATAAAATAATTTAGAATGTACAAAAAATGACATTAATCAGATCTATCTATTAAGGTACTAGCTGACCCGGCAAACGTTGTTTTGCCATATAAATAATTTCGTAGAAGGGTGAAAATTGAGGATTGTATGTATTTTTGTATGTTCTATCATAAAAAAATTGAAATCAAAAATTTTGACAAAAAAATAAAAAGGTTAGGGGTGGACTACCCCTAACATTTAGGGGGATGAAAAATAGATGTTGGCCGATTCTCATAGATACCGTATAATCACAAAAAATGTCATCAAAATCGGTCAAGGCGTTTCGGAGGAGTATGGCAACGAAAACTGTGACACGAGAATTTTGTATATTAGAAGATGACTGCCGACAAAATATTTTGAAGATAACGTTGGTCCACATATGATTGCCACTGCATGAGGCGTTCAACGTGTTCAGATGAAAATATAACTTCACACCTTTTTTTGCCACTGTACACATTACGGCACTTAACCCGTCGTGTGTCTAAACGTGGATCCACGCGAGACACCATGTATTTTATACCTCTATTGTCTCATTTCGGTGCATTCAAGCGGTTAAATGCACCGATACTGTACAATGTAACACCCACTTTTCACTATTTATGTTATGAGTCCCATGTACTAATAGAGGCTGAGCTTATTACCATACACCGGGCACAATCCCAGACTCCGTGATACTACTCAGAATAAAAAAAACACCCAGTAATACTTTGCCCGACCCGGGAATCGAACCCGAGACCCCTTGCCCGGCAGTCGCACTTGCCAACACTCGGCCAACGAGGCAGTCTGAACGAGGTACACGTACATGACAGAGAGTGAAAATAAAGACATGAGAGTACCGACCAAATGTAAACTCTGCCACATACGACACACAGTTCATCATTACATAACTAAACAGCCATAAAGCCTTAAAGGACATAACCTACAAACATGTTTTGATACAACTCCTAACCACCCATTTGGTCACAAAGGCCTAAGTGGGCTAACATTTCGAGGCGACATTATTCCGAAGATAAATGACGTACTAAGTAACGAGCATAATATGGAAGCTGGAGCAATAAATACTTAACATAGGGAGTATTAAAAGCCTCTCAAAGTAAGGTTATCGGCGATTAGTCGTTAGCCAATAAAACAATATGGTTGACTGGGTTCAGGGGTGGGATGAAACTATTAGCACTGATTGCTTCCATTATTAGGTATGTGTTTAGATTCGATGTAATTAATTGGTTTGTTAAGCTTGTTTGGTTCATTAGCCGTGATGATATTTTAGTAAAAGACCGGTCAGTGGTGGACAAATATGTCCATCACTGACCGGTCTTTCCATCGGTGTAGTAAGAGCCTAAGGATTAGGTACACATTTGAAAGATACACGGCAACAGAGGTCTTTGATAACCTTGGACTTCTTAAACTATTAGCTCGCCCGGTAGCAAACCTTTTTACGCGAAGGAGGTCTATAGAGCAGACTGTAAAGAGTTGCGTGCACTTTATGCCCTTATAATCTTCAATTTAAACTAGGTCATAGAAGAAAAATAAAACTTGTGTACTCACTAATACAACAGTCCCATTATCCAGTTTGGTTTCCACCGGTTCTGTCATGGCGACCACGGCGACTGACAGGTTGACGCGCAGCGCGTACACGTTGAAGAAGCCGAAAAACGCTAGCAGCGCCACCACCAGCCGTCGCCGCCGCCAGAAACACCATGTCATCTGGTGGTCTTTGGACTGTTCTCTGCAAAGAAAAGAAAGATATTATGAGAAAAATGATTAAAAAGTTGTAGTACTTACTCAGTTAATGAAAAATAACCGAATATTTATCAGAATAAGTAACCATTTTTATAGTATTCTACTGTTTACATAATTATAAATACGCCTATGTATGCTAAGTAACAAAATAATGTTTGAAAAACTACAGGAGAATAATGCATTTGCTAGTAGAATCACAATGTTCATTGTTGGCATTTGGCAGAGGCTGACGTGTGACGCTTTTATAGCTATCTGCAGTGTGCATTGCTGGTGTGTTTACGTATAGATATCAACTTAAAAAAAGGGACAGGAAAAAAGAATCAGTGATGGAAATCAATACACGGCTAAACTACACTATCAATACATAGTATAAAACAAAGTCGCTTTCGCTGTATGTCCGTATGTATGCTTAGATCTTTAAAACTACGCAACGGATTTTGATGCGGTTTTTTTTAATAGATAGAGTGATTCTTAAGGAAGGTTTGTATGTATGTATATACATATTGCACCCGTGCGAAGCCGGGGCGGGTCGCTAGTATATTATAAAAGCAAAAATATTCCGCGAGGAAAAATACGAAAACAATTAATGCTCGATTGTGCAGAAGCTAGGAATGTAAAAGATGACAACAGTGTTTGAATGATACGGTATGGCACAGATTTTTAACTCGCATTCAAACTTTTCCACTAACCATGGTTAAACACTTCTCCAGTATCTAACCAAACTGCGATAAAACCAGAACAATTTATTTGGAACCGTGAACACGCTTCAAGTGATTGCAAGTAATTAATTTACCCGTCCCGTGGCCAAAGATAAGGTGAAACTCGTAAAAAAATTGTTTGGTGGACCAATTTTTCTTATTAACAAGGGAAATCTGATTCGTACGGATGGCTTTAAGGCCACGGTACAATTTTGTTCGTTATTAGAGCTCAACTGATTCCATACTAACATTAGATGCGATTCTCAAAGTTAACTGCTTCCACAGATACAGTGTGCCACAAATTGACGAAATTAAGTTAATGACTGGGGTATCAAAGCAATTAGATGTAAACACCAAAAAGCAATCGAGAGTAATTTGATAAACTGTTATAATTATTATAACGCCATATATCAGACAATTAAACGTTTAAGAAATTAAAATGCTATCAGGCTTTCTAGAGGTACAATATTTAAGTTCAGTCTACGAAGAAGTTGCCTCGTTGGCCGAGTGGGCGCAAGTGCGACTGCTGGTCAAGAGATCTCGGGTTCGATTCCCGGGTCGGGCAAAGTATTACTGGGTTTTTAAAAATCTCAGTAGTAGCACGGAGTCTGGAAATGTGCCCGATATATGGCAATAGGCTCACCCCCTATTACATGGGACTCATAACATAAATAGTGAAAAGTGGGTGTTACATTCTACAGTGGCATTCAGTGCCATAATGTGCACCTCTGCCTACCCCTTCGGGGATAAAAGGCGTGATATTATGTTATGTCTACGAAGAAGTATATTTTCATGTCAAATTGCATTTGCTTAGAACATTGACAATCGCTGATCTAAAGTGATTGGCTAATTTCCAAGTAATGCTGTCATGTCGCTTGGTATCGTATATGTTACGAAGAACTCTATTGCTTCAAAACACTATCTGTATATACCAAAGATTTAGTTTTATATGCCACACAGACATACATACACGCCTATATTTATTTAACCTCTATAAAAAGTTAACACTACACCGTTACGGGCGGATAGCAAAGCCGTGTTTTGATTTCGTTGACTGAGTGTCACTTTTACTTTAGCAAAATTATATTAGGTGAAATTGGACACACCTATAACACCATTTAGGTTTAGAACGATTTTAACTAAATAGGTATTTTCATATACTGAAGAAATTTTAAATGATAATATACTTATTTTCATTCAGTTTCTATTACCTCATCTGACCAGAAAAGGTGAAACAGGACTAGGTATTCAGGCAGATGCTTGGTGTATCGTACCCATACTCCGAGCCGAGAACTCGGCATCACAAAGCGTCTGTCTACCAACCATAGTACAGAAGCGCATACTGCAGTACTTTGGCAATGTCTCCCATCGTGATAACAACTCTATAGAACGGCTGGTCGTTCAGGGGAAAGTAAAGGATACCAGATCACGAGGCAGATCACCTATGCGCTGGATTGATCAAGTCTAAACGGCAACAGGAAACCCAGTGTCAGACTGCGCCAGACAATCCACAAAGAGGGAGAGATGGCGATGACGGATGACAGAGAAGAAGATTCAGGCATTTATGTACCAACATACATACCTACGTATCCAGAAACTTAACAAATAAAACATCAACTCTCGATAAAACGCAGGTTCGATCAAGGTTTTAAATACTTTATTATATGACGACAATGCTGTCTATAGGACACATTCCTATTAAATAACATATCCACACAAAGTCAGACAATTACGCATTAGAATATGTAGATAAAGTTTAGCCATAACACCTGAGATTACTTACATAAATACAAACTGTATATCGATTAACTTATTAGTTAATTAATAATTCTGTTTGCGTATTATGAGACCATTAAATCTAAAACGCCAATATTGATAAAGCTGGTTGCATGATATCGTATAAGTGCGATAAATTTAACCGAAATAGGACCGAACATGTTTGATGTTTGGAATCGATAAAACGCACGGTTAGAGCTTTTTCTGGTATTAATATCTTTTTGGTTAAAAAACAGCTGCCCTTATCTCTGGATTTTTAAATCAATTGTGATGCTGACTTAAATACACGTAGTTAGGTACTTGGTCTTTTTCAGTTTCACTTTTTCAGACTTTTGCGTTGATTAGCCCCAATAGGGTCAATAAGGTAGTTAGGTAAGGTACTGCCCACATTCCAGTTAAGAGTAACCACAAATAACGAATGTTTACCTCATTATAATTGCTAGCAAAGAGCGTGTTTAACACTTAGAACAGGGGGAAAAAGAAAATGGTCACGCATTAATTTCACGGCAATTAACATTGGAATGTTATTAAATTGGGTCCGGTTTAGAGTGCTCAGTACTAATTAATTGTAAATTAAATACGATGCTATGGTTATTCTTAAGAATGCCCGCTAGAGGTATTTCGGAATGCCTTTTTCTGCAATTATAACGGGTCGTGTTTGGGAGGGTCGGCATTTTTTTGTTGATTTTATTACAAAGCTTTAATCTTCTTTCCTTATTGTTTTAATGCGAAAATGAATTGGTTATCCTTTAAAATAAAAGATATTAGTCTACCAAAGATATCAACGAAAGATACTATTGGAATCTTAAATTAAAATTTTCATCTGATTTACATCATCCGCCCTTATAGGTAAGGTTTTTCCTATACCTGCAAAATGTATTGGCACAAAGCATGTCTTTTGATGTCAGACTACACAGGCGTGACACTTTTACCAATAGCAATGCTAATGAACTTAAGATATTACCTTCAAGAGAGATTATTATCAATATTTAAATCACACGTCCATTTCTTGCGACATTCCGTCGACATCTGACATTGATATTTGTATCACGGATATTTTGCAACTGACGAACGCAAGTTACACTTTACAATACTTTATGCCCATTGTGGAAATTGCATACATATGTATTTGCGATGCTAACTCCATGTTTAATATACGTAAATATAAGCAATTGCATGTATTAGCATATTTTCTTGACGGGTCATTTGCCTAAGCTGGCCATGACCGCAACACAAGTGTGTCCTTCGAGCATTAGGTGCATGAATGCAAAAGTAAAGCTGTATTAACTATTATATTAGGTGACTTATAACTGACTAAGAAAAGGAACTTAGAATTCGTTAAAATACTAATCGTGTAACGACACGAGCAGATGGATCACCTGATGGCAAGTAATCGGCGATGCCCATAGACACCTGGAACACCAGAGGCGTTACTGGCCTTATAGGAATTGGGAATTTGAGGATTGTGGTGGATTCGGGGATTGGGGAAACTGGTGAGGGAGGGGGGTAATTGGGCCTCCGGTAACCTCACTCACACGACGAAACACAACACAAGCGTTGTTTCACGTCGGTTTTCTGTGAGGCCGTAGTATCACTCCGGTCGAGCCGGCGCATTCGTGCCGAAGCATGCCTCTCCCATACTTCGTACAAAAGTATTGAACTCACTTCCGTGGGTTTGGCTGTATTTACATTGACGAAAACTTAATGACCATGATATACAATTAACTGTTTCTCAAAATCATAATCATAAGATTTTGTTATTAAATACAGCGGTTACAAGAATCTATAGAATTTGACACCATTTAATTACCTACCACAACCGAGCCTCGGGAAGACAATATTCGTGGCTCAAAATATAATATTTTCCTTCGCCAAAGTTATTCAGGTCGTGGTTACAAGTATCGAGTTAACTGGTAAGAATTTCGTAACCAGCTAGTTTAACAGGAAAATTGGTAACGAAGAGATATTTTGTTAGGTAAATTGATAGAGTGGCAAAGTGGACTTGTTTCGAAGACAATAACCTGTTCTTGCATTAGCCGTGTGATTATGGTTTGTTTGTGCTGTTTCTTAAAGTTCACTTTAGCTTGTGTTGTAGAAAGAAGCTAAGGATTTGTTTATATTGCTGTTTTGGCCAATATAATTAACTTTTCAGTATGGATACACGTGATCTTAATTTTAAGGTTTTGACTGCCAATAAAAACTATTGAAGGCAAGTCTTCCGCTAACGTCAGTCACTGGTGACTCCCATGGCGTTTAAACTGTCAAACACCAAGCGGTCACCGGTGACCGCAACCTATTGTTCTATAATTGTGTCTACAAAACCGGTACTCGACGAGTTAATGTGTTAATATTGAATTGGTACACATTTATACAATAACAGGGGGAGGCCCTTGTCCAGCGGTGGACGTCTTGCGGCTGTTAATGATGATAATGACACTATAACAACAGAAAGCCGGTTATAAGTTTTAGGACTATCTTCTGAACATCATCGCTCTATATATAAAAATGAAAC